CCCCCCAACAACAAAAACATCACCCCCTATGACAACAATGATGCCAACAGCTCTCCATCCTCCTCTAACAAAATAGTTAATTGTGCTCATGGAGAGGAGGAGGGACGGTTTATCTTTATTTTAAGCAAATACACTAGAATTCATGCAGTTTCCTAAATGTCTATACATTATTATACTATATTTATTTACTTACTTATTTATTTTCAGGTTGGGAGGTCGCAGGTAATCACATCCAGACTGGAGCCGGAAGCTCTGATAATGATTACCTCATCCTCAACCTCCATGTTCCTGGATTCAAGTAAGGATATTTGCTTTGAGTTTTTTAGCCTCCATCACTTTTGCCACTGAGCTATTTCTTTCAGTGACTAATTCCCTTCTTCTGTCTTCATATGCTTCTGTTTATTTGCCATCAGGCTTCCTACGTCAGTGTCGAGTCATTCAGGGGAAGAATTTGGTCGCATTACATTTGAATTTGAAACTTCTTGCACAGCCGACTGTGAGCTCTACTTCATGATGGTGAGAAGAGTTACTGACATGATTGCTGCTCTGAAAAATGTTACCATAGATTTTCAAACCAGAAATTTGTCTAATGAATCTTTTAGGATGTAAACAGGAAGAGTACAAAAATAGTGGAGTCTTGGGAGAAAAACAAAACAAGGCAAACCTACACACACATCATGACAAAGAATGCTTCAGTTTCCTACACATGGGCCTTCCAGAGGACTAACCAAGCTTCAGATGTGAGTAGAAGTACACAATTACACACAGATATGAACTCATTTAAACTATATTCACTTCAAAGCTATCAGTGAATGATGTTCATTAATACTTTACATCCATCCATTCATTTCATTCCCTCGGTGACCCTCCCCAGAGTCTGCTTCCTCTATGGAAGATCCCACAGTCTTCTGTTTATTTGCCATCAGGCTTCCCACAGTCCCACCTGAGCCAACTCACCACCAGGTGGTGATCAGCTGTAGGGCTGCCACAAACGATTATTTTGATAGTGACTAATCACCAATTATTTTAGCGATTAGTCGACTAATCAGATTATGCATCAATTGGATGTAAAACGTACAGCTTACTGCACAAGCATGCATCTGCTCTTATATAACTATCATTAGCTTACAGCTTTAAGTGTGTAAGGTATGTGCTAACTAAAAATAAAGACAAGATGATAGTTTATTAAATTTTAATGAAATTTGCAGATTGTTTCCGTGAACTTTAATAAACTCCTTGCTATCTAAAATATAACGGGACACCGGAATATATTCTCAAGCATCTCACATTTCTGATAATCAGTTGTCTGCTTGATGTTTATTCAGCTGTGTAAAAACTATAACTTTAATCTCAGCCAAACCGATTTACTCAGGAACAAATAAAATACTAAAAAAGCCAAACAATAACATTTTTAAGTTATCTAAGTGACTTATATATATTTAACCTGAGTAGTGAAAGACGGTGGTGGGTTTGAAAACGATTTGCCGGGAGTCCGGTGTTCTCACGGGCTCTAGTGAGCCTTGCCCCCGGCTAGCTATCGAGCTAGTGGGTAACAGACGTCACCGAAAACGTCGGAGCGCTTTTGAAAATTTGTGGTGTCTTGATAAACTGAGCAGATATTTGAGGTTTACACAGCTATATTCTCGCCTGAAAATATGTTAAACGTTTATTTTGTGACCCAGAAAGAATAATAAGAGTAATATTAAATCTAACTAGCTGCCGCCATTGTTGGAAACTGAGCTGGGCTGTGCTTTGAATTCTGGGACACAGTTTCTTCTTCTTCGGGTTTAACGGCAGCTGGCGTCCTTGTACATGCAGTGCTGCCATCTTCTGTTTCAGTCCGTTATTACACTCTTAAATCCTACTACTTATTCCTGCGTCTTTTGTGATCTTACAAAGCTTCAAACGACGCGTCGACTATTAAATCAGTCGTCGACGATTTTGATAGTCGACGTAATCGTGACTAGTCGACTAATCGTGGCAGCCCTAATCAGCTGTCAGCTCAGCACCTCTCTTCACCCAAGTGTCTAGCACATACGGCTGCAGATCTGATGATACAGTTACAAAGTCGATCACTGACGTGTGGGCTAGGGTGTCCTTTAAAATTATAAATATATTTATATATTATTAATTCAATTAGAGTTATATATAAATATATAACTCTAATTTAATTTACCTCAAATATTTTAGTTATCTCATATAATTGCAAACCTTATTACATATCATAAAGTGCAAAACTGTAAAAGAATAGCAGTAACCTTTGCTTCTTGCTTTTGGTTTTAAACTGTCTTTGGTTGCTGTTGTTGTCGTTGTGTTGTAATTTGTGCAATAGCTAATAAAATCTGAAATGACTGAGTTCTTGAGGTCAGACCACTTTAGGCACACCAAGTACTCCCTTACTTTTGGTTCTAAAGATAAATTCTGAAGTGTCATTCAGTGTCTTGCACAATATATCAACACTGGAGATTTTATTTCATGTCATCTAGCTGATGTATATTTATCTCTCTCTACCTAAGGTACGACAGTATGTCAAAGATGTGGCACGAATCTACTCCATCACTGTGAGTAACGCGGTGGATGGAGTGTCCTCTAGCTGTCGGGTTTGTGCCCTCGGTGCACAACCGTCCAGCTCTGCGTGTGTGCCGTGCCCACCTGGGCATTACATAGACGCAAGTACGAGCCAGTGCACAGAGTGTCCACCTAACACGTACCTGATGCCTCACGCTGCACCAGGCCCTGATGCCTGCAAATCCTGTGGACCTTCCAGCAAAAGTGACAAGGTTTGTTGCTATGATTGAGAAAGAAATTAAGAAAATTCTTGTTATCAGTAAGGCAGTACACCAGATACCTGTGTATTTGTTTTCCAGGAGCACAGCTTATGCTATAGTGACTGTCACTTCACCTACACAGAAGGCAATGCCACTCTGACTTTTGACTTCAGCTCACTTGGGCCAGTGGGGTCACTGATGAATGGCCCAAGCTTTACCTCAAAAGGAACCAAGTACTTCCATCACTTCAATATCAGTATCTGTGGAGGAAAGGTGTGCAAAGATGAAAATGCGCAGAAAATCCTGCAATTTTAAATGTGTTGTGCACAAATTGAATGTCATTGCAATTTTCTCTTTTTCTTTAAGGGTCAGTTGGCAGTATGTACAGACAATGTAACAGACCTATCCATCACCGACTCCCAGAGAGAAAAGGAAGGCCCCAACGCCATCACAACCTTCATCTGTCAATCAACAATAATCCCAGCGAGTGGACGAGGATTCCACACAGCCCTCTCCTCGCAGTCCATTAACCTGGCTGACACATTTGTTGGTTAGTGAACATCAAACACAGACGGTGGCAGCGAAGGGAATTGAATTTAGGATTACTTTTTTATACCTCTATTTTTATTTTAAAAGAATAAAATAATATGTGATAATAAGTAAGTTTTGTGGGGATCATTACTCGTATAATATAAAATGTCTTTTTTTGCTTGTCTTTAAATGTTAAACTCCTGTCATAGAAAAGATTAAAGACAAATTAAAAGTAGACATATTATTAAGTAATACATTTCTATAAATATTAACAGGGGCAACTGTGGATAACAACCTTGAAGGAATAAGTGTAACATCAGATCTGTTTCCCAAGACCTCCAAGAAAGTCCCTGATGTCAACTTTTACTACAGGTGCCTATCATTACAGGCATTATTTATAGAGTGGAAAAAAAAATCAGTGCTTTAAGCTTCTTGCTTTCTGTGCTTTTTGGCGTAAGGTCTTTGGAGACAACTTCATCTTGCGAGTCGGGTCGGAGCGTGGTGGTGACACTTCGCTGTAACCCAGACAAGAGCACTACGGGGGAGCTCTCAGTACCCAGGTCTTTCTCATCGACGTCTCTCTAATTTTCACGTGTAGCATCACAGTTTGTCACTGTTCTGTGCTGTGGTCCAGCTTACTGAACAAATTGTGCCTTCGGCTATTTCAGTCAGTGCCCTGCTGGAACGTGTGATGGTTGCACCTTTCAATTCTTATGGGAGAGCTCAGGGGCTTGTCCTACATGCACAGAAAGAGACTATCATCAGATAGAGGGAGTCTGCAAGGGAAGAAATCAGGTGTGTGTGTGGACATATACTCGTCTATGAGTACTGGATTTTTCTTAAAGGCGTGTTTAATGTGAATTAAAACAGACTGTGTACTGCAGCTTTCATTTGAAGTGGTTTATATTCACCTCAGATTTTAAAATTCTTATCCAATTTTATAGCCAGCCAAGCAACCAAACGGGTTATAATTCCACAACTGTTCATGCTAACAAGCCTAAAGGTTGTTAGCATCCAAAATATCCATGTATGTAGAAAAATCCCACAAAGCTTAAAGTCAGCACTATAACAGTCTTTGTGTCGCTTAAAATGCAGGTTGCTGGAATGAAGACAAACCTATTGAACACTTCAAATTTCATATTTACACTTACTAGTGTATGCGCTGTCCCATTCATATGTGTTTATCCACCCTTAGGACTTGCTGTATGTGTGGAATGAACCAAAGCTGTGCATGGGTGGTGTGCCCTTGCCTGCTAAGAAAACACAGACCTGTGAGGGCATTGAGTTCTGGATCCATCTTGGTGCAGGACTGGGAGCTTTCACTGCAGTGTTGCTCGTTTCCCTGACCTGCTATTTCTGGAAGAAGAACAAACGGTATCTTTAGCCTCTTGTTCTTTAACTTCTCACATCATTATTTAATTACATTTTTTCTCATTTTCCCCTTAATTCCCCTTAATATTCTCCCTTTCTCGCCTTCTTCCTCATCACTGCTGTAAGATTTTAGCTTCACATGTTTTGTTTTTCTCCTTTTTTTCTTTCCTTAACTTTGTCTCTTCTTCTCCATTATTACCAAATCCCATCTCTTGCCATTCTGTCTCTATAACATCACAGTATTTATGTGAAGATTCTTCGTCTTCTTCTTCTTGTAAATTTCTGCAGTATTGATTCTGTCACTTGTCTCTGTGCAAGGTTGGAGTATAAGTACTCCCGGCTGGTGATGTCTGCTAACAAGGAATGTGAAATGCCAGTGGCTGACAGCTGTGCTGTGATGGAGGGAGAGAATGAGGCAGACATGGATGATGAAGTCGTATACACAAAACCTTCTTTACTTGGAAAACTCAAAGCCATAGCATCCAAGGTGAGAGACACAGTATCACTATACTTTTAAAACCACAAAATTCCACAGTGGCAAAAAACAAACAAACTATATAGTGTTGCAAAATAATTCTCTTTTCGTTTTCATTTTAGAGAAATGGAGATAACTATGAAAATGTGCAGCTAAATTCGGCTCATTCCAAAACATTGGTGTGGAGCTAGAGTGGAAGAACCGTGAAGGGGGCTGAGGGGAGAAGTCAGACCCTTAAGAGACTTTGTGACCCCTATCTAACTATCCCCTTTAAGCTTTGATACCTGGAACACCAACTGTTTGTATGTGCACACACATATAGACACAATATCAGAGCCATGCTCAAACGAGTCACACTAACCTGGTGGCCTTAAAGCTTGGTACGATGGAGCTGTCCAGTTAAAGACTGCGAAGCAGGTGTGTGACTGACACTTCCTGATAGCTGTCTGATTCTAATTTATTTCAGGAAAAAATTGATAGAAGAGCTCAGGGTAAGACAAAGACCTATTTAAGATGTCCTGTTTTGCTATTTTTCTCTCTTCAGTTTGCGTATCGTCCAATATTTCGTTGATACCTGTGGTATAGTTCAACTTCAGGAAAGCTATGATTTGCCTTTCCATATCCCACAGATGTTTACACAGATTGGTTTATTCTTTTCATGTACAATCATTATCTTCTCATGTTTTTGTTGTTTTTTTATTTTATTTGAAATTATATAATGAAGAGAACTACTGATCAGTTGAAATTTGAATTTGCCATATTCTGTTTGGGTTGTGGTGTGGACTGTCCATGTACATCAAATAAATCATGATGTATTTATGTATAACCGGACTCAGTTTGATTATCTTATTAAAAAGCTGCTGAGAAATTAAGCAATAAATACATTTGAGTTAAGATTAAGTCAAATGTATTTGTTCAATACTATTTAGACTCAAGGTACTTTTGCATGCTTTGCAGACTGAAAAGAGGAAGACAAAGAGACATTTAAAACATCTGTAAACATATGCATACAAGCTTGCACAAACAGTCATTATTAAAATATGAAGACATTTCACAGATGTCCAGTTATATAGATCTGGTGCACTTGCTTCTATTTTAATGGGATCGTCACCAAAAAATCAAGTCATTTCTAATACGGCCTTAGTAAAAGCTATGTCAAATCGTCAGTAACACAGCAGGGGTGGGCAATTCCAGGCCCCGAGGGGGGCCTGGAATTGCCAGGCAGGATTTAAAACAGATGTTTTAAATCCTGCAGGTTTTAGATCTCACCTTGGGTCAACACACCTGAATTAGTTCATTACCAGGCCTCTGGAGAACTTCAGGACATGTTGAGGAGCTAATTTAGCCATTTAAATCAGCTGTGTTGGTTCAAGGACACATCTAAAACCTGCAGGGACACTAGCCCTCGGGGCCTGGAATTGCCCACCCCTTATGGGGGGGATCCATAAAAAATGGAACTGGCAAACAAAAATGTAACTCGTGAAGAAATATGCACTCATCAACCACTTTGTTAGGGGATCCTGTTGACATGGTCAAGATGACCTGCTGAAGTTCAAACTGAGCATTAGAATAAAGAAAAGAGATCTAAGTGACTTTGAATGTGGCGTGGTTGTTGGTACCTGACGGGCTGGTCTGGTTCACACACAACCATCCTCGAGGTTTACATTTCCCCACAGAGGCAGTGCTTTGTGGGGAAATGCCTTGTTGATGTCAGAGAAGAATGGCCAGACTACTTTGACCTGATAGGATAATGAGAGTAACTGAAATAACCACTTGTTAAAACCAAGATGCATAGAAGAGCACCTCTGAATGCACAACATGTCACAGCTTAGAACAGATAAGCTGCAGTAGCAGAAGGCCACATTGGATGTCACTGTTTTCTTTATCATGACACTGAGTTCAACGTACTCATTTGGCCTCCACAGTTACCAGATCTAAATCCAATGGAGCACCTTTGAGTTTTGTGCAACGCCAGATGCAGGAGATCATTCTACATCACAGGGGTGATGTGTTTCAAATAAGATCATTTTGAATTTGATGGGATCAACATATCTCCAAAAAACTTGGGACAGGGTAATGTCCCCATTTCATTTAACAGCAGCTTGTAATTGTGAGCAAAGGAGACCATGTGCTGGAATTTTTGGGAGAGGTGATAATGGACTCAATAGCTGCTCACCAGTCCTGGGTCTTCTTATTTGTATTTTTGGTTTTCTGGTGTGAGAAATATTTGACCCATGTTATCCTAAAAAATAATTTCAAATTTAAAACAATCTAACCACAAATGGGGATTTCCATGTTTTCTCAGTCCAGTATAAATGAGCCTTGACCCAGAGAAGACGTATGTTTCTGGATTATATTTGCAGTGATTTCCGGAAGTGTTCTCAAGCAGTGATTTCCATTATAGAATCATATCTTTCTGTTACTGCAGAGCTACCTGATGGCCCAAAGATCATGAGCAATCAATACTTATTTTTGGCCTTTTGCCTTGTCCAACAAGATTTTTCTGGATTCTCTGAATCTTTTGATGCACTGTAGATAATGAGTTATCATCTTGCATTAAGGAAACTTATTCTGAAATTGTTCCACAATTTGTAGATGCAGATTGGTGAACATCTGCCTAGCTAAGATGCTTTTTTTAAAACAAAAAATACAGAATATGTTACTCACATGTTGCACAATTGCAAAATGTTCCTCCAGATATTTCTCTTTAGTACTATTTATGTTTCCAGTCTTTTGCTCTTGAAATGTGTGGCTGCTATCAATTTCAAACTAAGCAAATATTGTTCATAAAATAGTAAAATATCTCAGTTTAATGTTTATGAGATTTGCAAATGATTGCATTATGTTTTAATTAAATTTTTACAAAGTGCCCAACTAGTCATCGCACAACAAGTTTACAAATAAGGCAGAACTTCATTTCCTGGTTTTGGTTGTTATAGTGGAATGAATGTCATTCATCGGTCAGAAGATTTATATCGTGGCCTGAAAGCACTCAGCATTTCCAAACCCCTCTGGCACTTGGCTTCAACGGTAATATAATATCCTACCAACGGAGGGCACAATATTACCTTAAAATGATATATTACTTTTTAAAGTTACCATTGCGCAAATCATCATGCTGGCTCAGAAGTGGCTACCTTTGACTTACTGATATACAGGATGCGAAAATTACACAGCTGAAGCGGGGGAAAAAATCCCCCCCCCTCCCCCGCGGTTAGAAATAATACATTTGATGAGCCACTTTTTTCCCACTTTTTTCCTTAGCAACTCACCCTGGTCTTTACTGGCATTCGCCATATCGTCCTGCAGATGTCAGTCAAACATTAAGATTTTAAAAGGTAAACTCATGTCGTTTAATTTAACGTCCTCTCTGATTTTTCCCTGATTTTGCTTCCCTACAAAACATCATTTTTCAGTGCAAGTTTCTGAAAATTTACCTGTACACGATTCCCGAGTGTTTAATGTGGCTGGAAAACTCCCTGCTGTAAACCGCAGCACACTAGGGTATGGTGGTCAGAAGTGTAATTACTGAAACTAACCACTGGAGGGCGACATTTACTAGTATACAAAAGAAGAGTCCAAATCCTGTTTTACAGAACAGATAACGATAATGTAATCTTGTAAAAATAATAAAGTAAAATGAGATAAAATGAATAAAATATAAGATTTTCGTTTCAACAGTTTGACATGTCCCTGACTTTTCTAAAAGCAAAACAAAATAGCTTCTCTAACGTACGTTGTGTCAAACTACAAGCTACTGACTGCAGTGTAGAATGGAAAATTACCAAAAGACTGCTTCATCTTTATCTTTTTTTAATACACACTTTTAACGTCTTACTTTCAGAGACTGAACCTTCATACTGCATTTAACAAAAACACTGGGCTCTCCGGTAGATGGTTTAACAAGAGTGCCTTCATTGGGGAACAGATGAGGCAGAGTGTTAGAGCCATCTTTCAACATTTGGCAACACACACGTTGAATAGAGCCCATGTGGATATGAAAGTGATGTTGAGAGGCTGTTAGTGTTGCTGGAGAGACGAATGTATCTGCACTTCAACACACATTTTAGCTGCATTTATTGATATTTTTCTGAGATGAACAGAGAGAAGGATGAGTGGACAAAACCAGGTTTTTTTCCTTGTTGTTATTTTATTATGATGTCATCACAGCCTTATTATTGCACATACCATAAACACGGAACTATTGCTTTTGTGGTTGATCAGTTCCAGAGTCCCTTAAACCTCAGCTTCATTTTGCCTGCAGAGATCTCATCTTGTTTCAAAGAGGCCAAGGACACATTCTGCTATACGGCGGGGGCTATAGCACAGAGATCTTTGTGGAGCACACAGCAGTTGGCCGAGGCTGAATAGAGGAACAATGTTTATAATGAATGGCTGCTTGTAAAGGATATTCATGAGTAAAGCCAATTAAGGACGCTTCCAGAGTGAGTTACTCGGTGCATGACATGGTAAAACTCGGAAAGGTGAGGCATTTCAAAGTAAAGCGTTTCCTCTACGTCTCAGTTCCAACAGATTTTCCCATACACCCGTTAAACCCTTTTCAAACCTCCTTATGCCTCGACAGCATGCCTGCAGTGGGCTCCCAGATCTAAATGCTTCAGTTCAAGTATGGCCTAGCAGCCTGCTGGTCTTGCTTAGGTGGTCTTGGCTGAGACCCACTGTGTAGCAAGTTTCACACATCGAGTGGAGATGAGGTGGACAAATGTGGCGAGGGAAAGGTTGAAGGGGTGAGGCAGACTGTGAGAGACGGGGTCAAAAGAAGAGTGTGAGATTGTTGTCAGAGACTGGTCCCCGGACTAAATGAGTGGAGAACAGGGTTAAGTGCTCTATTTGTGCAACTATTAAAAGCTGGGAGTAGGGTACAGGGACTCGCAGAGCCAAATCTCATCAGTCACTGCCAATTTGAATCAGAACCAGCAACTCGTTTTTCTTTTCCTCCTTTTTCGGCAACTCCTCACCCCTCCTCTTCATGCGGACAAACAGACATTCCAGCAGCGGATGTGATGGTGGTTGTCCATAGCAACGTGCCATGCTGGGTGTATCTTGTGGGAGCAGGACCACTGAGTGAATGGCTAAGCCTTCTTCTAACAAAGACTGCGAATCTCTGAGATGCTTTGAGCTTCCATAGAAGCACTGTGACTTCTGGGCTGTGGGAGTGCTTTACATAATCCAGCAGCAGCTTCCCTCTGCTCCGCCACAGCGCTCTCTCCTGCTGCTCTCTGCACCTAACACACACGCCCCAATGTAGGTCGGCTCATCTTGGCGCATCCTCTGAAATTCTTTCAATCTATCATTCAGTGTGATAATCACAGGGTGCTCTTGGAGACAGGCAGCGTAAAGGTGTAGACCAGTCATGAGATGAATGTTCAACAGTTCTACCCACATCTGCTGTAGGAAATTTGAGAGAATAGTTTGAAAAGGCTCGACCGGGGGGGAGAAAATGAGTGATTCCGATCACATATTTTGCTGGAAACATCAAATATAACAGTCACACTTTATTCTAGACAGCATATTATATGTAAACATTTAAGATCAATTTATTAATAATTTACTACCACCTTAAATGCAATAAATTATTGCATGAGTCACTTGTTTAAAAAGAAAATATGCTAAATTACTCTGCTAATATTTAGATTTTCTCGCAACATTCATTTATTCCACCACCTCAGAACTGTCACCCAGCAGCGAGTCTGCAACATTTCCAGCTTGAAACAGACAGTTTGATGTGTGTGGATGTTTTGATAAATTTGATGTACTTTATGGATATGAGTTCTTCTCTAACATCCTTTTGTTAGCTGGGAT